CGTCACCTGATATGCCAGCTTCACAGCTGACCGTAGCAGTAGTCAAAACATGGAGAAAATCAATGTGTGTGAGTGTTGATCATGTGGTGTGTATCTAAGAACATACAGGACATTCAGGGACATGTCCGGACATTAAGCCTAGGAAGATATTATGATTAAGATTACGACTAAACATATCATACTGTAGCCAATAATCATTCTGCCTGCTGACAATCAAACTTTTTCTATCTAGTTATCCTTGACCATGTGCACCCTGCAAAACTCATGAGAATGACTAAGCATTTAAACTAGACATCCTGTCTCCACTAAACATTTCTAATACAACAAGTATCTAACCAATATCTATCTGACTAAACATACCTAACAACATGTTTAATCATAATCGTAATCATAATATCTTCCTATGCTTAATGTCAGGACATGTCACTGGATGTCCTGTCAGAATGTCTTAGATACAAGCCACCCCCTCAAGGGTGAACTACAGAGCTGAGTACTTCAGGGAAAAATGAACTAAAAACACAAAAGGGGTTACAGCGTGTAAGCAGTTTCTTCGTTGCAGTGACCTCTATATGTATGCCGTATGTGCAAGCTGATTCAATGCAATTAAGAGCATTTGAGCGGACATATTCGTGGAAAAGTATATACATCATGTAGAGCAAACTTTCATTGGTTAATCCTAACATTAGGGGGTAACTAATACACGGAAAACAACAAAGATTTTTTTACATCCTACCATAATCATGAACACCACTCAATAATAAGAATTTAGGTTATCATTAGCAATTTCCCTTAATACTTACCAAACTTAATTATCAAGAATTAATTATTAAAATCATTTAACACCCTATGAGTTCACACCACCTACGTGTGTGACTAAAAATACCTAACAGTAAAAAGTACCGGGTACAACAGTGCATTTAAAGTACAGTGTTGATTATCATGAAGGCAGCAGACTCAGCTTGTTAGAAATCCAGAAAGCCGAACCAGCACAATGATATGACTGCTCTATAGAAATATCTATTTAATATTTATCACTTTAATGTAGACTCTGAGCCTGTCAGGATCCAGTCGGAGTGATCGCTCAATTTTTCCATTGATCTGATTGGTTGGTGATCAAGTTGTTGACAGGTTTTGTTCTGAATCTCTGAAGTTAACCTGCTCCAGAGCAGGTTAGCCGTGTAGCATAAGTACAGTCAGGGAAAAAATTATTTGAACCCTAGCTGATTTTGTAAGTTTGCCCACTAACAAAGAAATGATCAGTCTACAATTTTAATGGTAGGTTTATGTGAACAGTGAGAGACACAACAATAACAAAAAAATCCAGAAAAATGCATTACAAAAAAAA